AAGGGTTTCTCTCCCATATGGGTTTCCTCATGGTCAGTGATATTAGATTCGTGGCTGAAGGCTTTCCCACATTTCTTACATGAATAAGATTTCTTTCCAATATGAATTCTCTGGTGACTTATGAGGTTTGACATCTGAACGGAAGCTTTCTCACATTCATAAAGTTTAAATTTTCTCACATTCTCTGAGGTTTAGCTTCTGGCACAACAGTTCTCCAAATTTGTTACATTCATCAAGTTTCTCCACAGTTTGAATTTTCATATTCAATTAGTATGAATAACTGACTGAAGGTTTTCCAACATTCCTTACAAGTAAAGGTTTCCTCTGCTGCATTATTTCTCTAGAAACTAATAAGATGGGGCTTGTGAATATAAGATTCCACATAGACAAAGTTCGTAGGGTTTCTCCCCACTGTGTAGTCTCAGGTATTTGATGAGGTTTACTTCTGAATCTCTTGTTTATACAGATTTCACTTAATGGGGGTTACTATAAGATAGGATGAGTTATAATATACTTATTATATTCATAGCATTTCTTTCTTACATAGATTCCTTCATCATATGTTATGTCTAAATTAAGTTTTCAACTCTTTCCCAGTGAGTCACACTGACACATGCCTCGTCTTGAAGAAATAATGTCTGAACTCAGAGGATATGTCTTTCCAATTTACTCACATTCACTGCCTTTCTCCTCTGTTTTTTCTTGGAGACATATACAATTTGACTCTCAAGTATTTCAGTTGCCTCTACATCTGCTTATTAACTTCCAAGATTTCTTCTAACATGAAGTACAAAGAATAATCATTACAAATTAATATGTGAAAATTGCTTAAAAGACTGTTTAGTATGTAGTAAGTATGCAAAAAACTATTATTGTAATCATCATCATCACTTAAAAATCTGTCTAGTATTATATTATTAATAAAATTTCAGATATTTGCTATTATGGGGTAGACTCTTCAGTTTCAGACCTAAAGAATCCCCCAGTATGACAGAAATTCCAAGTGCTAATATCCACTGGCCCCTAATTTTGAGAAGGAAACTCTTACAGAGGAACTTTGGGTAGAAAGCTGACCTTTGATTAGTATGTATAGCTTTGAATGCTTTTAAATTAACCTTCCATAACTCAGAAATCAACAAAATGAAGAGAACACAAAATGAGTAAGTATCAAATAGGATGAAACAGTGAGTTCATAAAAAGAGTCTATTTAGATGACTAGACAGAGGTTAGAACAACCAAAGGGATAAACACAGAGGACACAGTGTATTAAACATAGCAGACTGACACATGCATTTATTTTTGCTTCCTCCAGAAACTTCATTAAAGTTATGTAAATAGGAAGGTGGGACAATACAAATTCACAAGAAAAAAGAGAATTGCTATAGTTGATGAGATATGTCAACAAATTTTTCAAACATGGCAAGCAGATGGAAGACTGTCAACTGAGAGCACAACCAAGAAGCGCAAATAAAGGTGCCTGCAGAAAAGAATGCCAATGAAAATAAGCTATAAACCAAAGAATCAAAACGAAAATAAGCTATAAACCAATCACTACAGCACCTCATGGACTAAAGGAATCAAATGCCTCCAATGGTGGTGATAAAGCATGGAGCTGAAAAAAGGATTTACGAGTAGATTGAAACTCATTACCCTCACCCCAACTCAAGCCAAGTGATTGCCACCTGTGGTAGTTCTGAACTATGTCCACAAATTTTTTGATACTCTCCTCGGCCTCCCACTTTGAATGTGGGCTGGACTTAGTGACTCACTTCTAATGAACAGATTGTGGTAGAAGTGATGGGATGTGACCTCTGAGCCTAGGTCATAAATGGTACCATGATTTCCTGACTATGTTCTCTCCCCTTCCTGTATCACTTGCTCTGGGGGGAAGCTATTAAGCCAGTTGTTATGACACTCAGGCAGTCCTGTGGAGAGGCCCATATGACAAGGAACCGAAGCTTTCTAACAACAGCCAGCAAGCAACTACCAAAAGCCTTATGAGTGAGCCATCTATCTTGGCAGCAGATGCTCCAGTCCCAGTCATGGCTGGCCAGCAGCTAGACTGCAACCTCATGAGAGACCCTGAGGCAGAATCACCCAGCTAAGCTGCTTCCAGATTTGTGACCCTCAGAAATGTTGAGACAATAAATGTTTGTTGTTCAAAGCTGCAAAGTTGTGGGTGATTTGTTATGCAGAAATAGATAACTAATACTCTACCACACCACCCTGACAAATAATAGAATATTTACTCTCTAGAGAAATTGAATGAGAGAAGCTTCAGACACAAGGATATGAAGAAAAGCAGACGGCAGGAGAGGCAGCAAACTGAAATCAGGGGGATTAAATAAATGGTGGGATCTCATCACTGTTGGACCCCCAAAATTCTGGTAGTCAAGAAACGAGAAGAAGCTTCTCTGGAGAAATGGAACAACCCAGAAGAAAACCTATAACACTAACATTTGGCGGCTGACAAAGAAATGGCTGAAATCTTGACCAATATTTCTATAGTGAAGCTTACAAGTTGACAAGCCCTCACTACATATATAGATATGACAGTCATCTTTTTAGTGCATTACTAATAGAGCATGAATGGACATCTATCAATCAACTAGGGAAAACATACTAATATGTAATTGTAATGTAAATGTAAACTTAGCAATATGAAAGACAGATGAAAGCAATAAAAAAAAAACCTTCTAAGGAAATGGATATAGGAAAGGAACAGAAAAAGACAAGAAACCCTGCCCAAACCTCCCTACAATAGTGCAGAGAGATAAGAGAAGATATTACATCAAGGAAACAAATACCAGGTAGTATAAAACCTGCTCTTGGAAATTAAAAATAAGATAGCTATTATTAAAATTTTCATAGCAGATATGGGAAACTAAGTTGTGGAAATCACCCAGTTGTGGAAAAAAAATAAAGAGTAAAAAAATAAGGTAACAAAAGATGAGAAAGATAACAGATAAAATCAGGAGTTTCAACATCCAGCTCAAAGGAGTGCCAGAAAAAGAAAGAGAAGAAAACTGAATGGAGGGAAATTTCAGAGAACAAATATAAGATTTCTGAAAATATAGGTCATGCTTCTTCAAAATAAAGAAATCCCACAGGGCCCGGCCCCGTGGCCGAGGGGTTAAAGTTCCGCGCACTCCACTTTGGCAGCCTGGGTTTGCAGGCTTGGATCCTGGGCGTGGACCTACTCCACTCACCAGCCATGCTGTGGCAGTGTCCCACATATAAGGTAGAGGAAGACTGGCACAGATTTTAGCTCAGGGCTAATTTTCCTCAAGCCAAAAAAAGAGAAGACTGGCAATGGATGTTAGCATAGGGTGAATCTTCCTCAGCAAAAAAAAAAAGAAAAAGAAAAAGAAATCCACTGTAAAATGAACAAAAACTCATACCAAAGTGCACATCAGTGAAATTTCAGAAAACTAGTTATGAAGACAAGATCTTAAATGCTTCCAAAAATAAAGAATAACAAAACACAAATCAAATTGTCATCATACTTTAAGATGAAAACCGTAAGCTAGAAGACAATCGTATAATTCTCTCAAATTCTAAGGGAAAACTATATCCAACCTAAAATTCCAAACCTAGTGAGGCTATCATCCAAAAGAGGTAGAATAAAGACATTTTTAGACTTGTAAGGGCCCCAAATTTTTACTCCAAATTAACCTCTCTCAAGATGCTAATGGAGGATTTTTTTCCCTTTTTTTAACAAAAAATGGACTAAACCAAGAAAAAAAGAAGACATAAGCTCCAGGAAACCAGCAATCCAACACAATAAAGAGGTGAAGGAAATTCCCAAGATGATCATGTGCTGGTTACCGTTTTTCAGTCCCACAATGAACCTTCTATCTACTTCTCTGTAATACTAGGACTGGGAGTCTGGAAACTACATTTCCCAGGCTCCTTTGCCAGTTGGCTCCCTTTTATTTATTCATTGATAAATCCAACATACTCATTAATTAACTCTACAGTGGAGAAACCTCATGGGCACCATTTAAACTAAGTAATAAAAGTTAACATCACCAGTAATGGAATATGACATTGTGTGTCTCCTGATAGGATAAACTGAGAAGAACATAGCATCACTTATGGGGTATTCCTCCCCAAAATGTATAAATGATGAAGAAACATCAGGTAAACCCAAATTGAAGAACATTATAGAAAATAACTAACCTGTACTCTTTGAAAATGTTAAGATCGTGAACACGTGGAATAAACAGAAAACGAAGAGTAAGGTGGTAGATTTAAACCCAAATATTTTAGTAGTTTCATTAAATGTACAGAGGAGAGTATGAGTATACTTGGGGGTCTGGGACAGATAAAACCAAACATCTCCTAACAATAAATTACTTTGCAGTCTTCCTTCTTGCTTTAAAAGCATGTTGAATTTGCATTCTAATCCATAATAAACATGCCCATTTTAACATAAAAACCCGTTTATGTTGTTTATCATATAATAGTTTTTTTCTCCTGTCAACCGTCAAATAAAATTGATGCTCCAGAAAGATGCTCTCTTATCATTTTAATAATGCCTAACATGAGGCTCAGAGGTTAATGTCTGATACACAGACACAACCCTGGTCTCCCAAATAGGTAACCCATGTTCACATACACCCAACACCCAGTCACACCTGCGGCCACAGCTCAGCATCTTCGGACTCTGCCTGGCCTCCTCCTCACTTGAGGGCGACACACACACACACACACACTCTCCATCCGAGATCGTCATTCCTTCCCTGTCGCCTCCTCGACCTGGTCCAGAACGAGACAACCAGGTTCCACCTTCTCTCGCACCCTCAGCGCTGCGCGGACCGAGGCCTGGACTCACCGCTGGACACAGATAAAAATGTCAGGTCGGTGTTTCATCCCCTCTGCATTCCGAGGGCGAGCTAGAACCCCCAGGAATCTCCCGGGCGCGGCCGGTTGGGTCACGGAGGCCAGCACCAGGCCTGGAGCTCACAAGAGCCAGTTCGCTTGCATTCTGGCCGGACTGGCTGCTTTTCTAGCCTGGACTACATTACCCATAGGCTTTGCGGCTCGAAGCTACTTCCGCCGCGAACTGGTCGTCTCGTCTTGTGCGTACCGGCGATAACCGAGCTGCCGGGGATGAGTGGGCCTGGCGCCTCTAGCCAGCCGACCGGCGCCATCTGCGAGCCGCTCCGCGTCGGGGCTTTGCGGTTCTGTTTGGTGCGGAGAAGCTGTAGATGAATGCAAGCCCAGTTTCTGCGCTGCGAGGGGTCAGGAGGCTTGTTGTCCGTCTCTGGACTACATTTCCCAGAGGCCTCTGCAGGCGACCCTACGTCCCGCGGGATTTCCGCTGCGTCTGTACCAGGTGGCGGGACCGTTGGCTCCGTGAAGTTAGGTGCTGTGGGGCCTCTGGGGTCCGGTGCAACTTGGCCAGTTTGGACCGTACCGGAACTAGGGAAGGACTAGGGTGAGGAGTCTGGATCCGGTCCTTTCGTCTCTGGAGCGAGCTAAAGAGAGGAGATCGTGTGTGTGTGTGTGAGTGAGAGAGAGAGAGGTTGTGATTGTTACTGTGTGTCTTCGTGGTGTGTGATTGTGACTGTATGTACTGAACTCTGGGTGATGGAGTGGGCTGCTGGTGTCCGTGTGTGTTCCCAGAATGGGTGATGGTGACTGCAGGACTGTGCGCCATTGTGCATGGGGATGCACAGGGTCGGTGATTGTGCAGTTGGGACCGTGTGCCCGGGTGGTGAGTGTGTGGTTGTGTGAATGTGTCAGCGTTGTGTGTGTGGGAGTTGGAGGTCTGTGACTGTGTGGTGTTAGGCGCCTGTGGCTGTGCAGGTGCGACTAGTGTGACCTTGGTGAGTGTGTGTGGGAGATTGTGACTGGTTGTGGGGCAATGGGTGTGTGGGTGTAGGGAGGCCTGTGGCTGTGCGATTGGGACCTTGTATGCCCCCTAGGTGTGTATGTGGGATTATATGTAACCAGGTGACCTGGTACAGCACTGTGTGCACATGGCGGGGGGTGGGGGTTGTGATTGTGCAAGTATGACTTCACCACTCTGTACCCAGGAGACATCTGTGAGCTCATAACTGATTCTGGCCCTTTCCTGTAACTACATTTGGCTGGACTCTTCAGTCTTCCCTGATCTTCCTTTGCGTGTGTGTGTGTGTGTGTGTGTTTGTGTGTGTGTGAGTGGCCAGGGGCTGGAGGAAGTGTGTGTTCCAACCTGGTCAGTTGGGATTTCAAGAAAAGCCAAGTGTCTCATCAATTTCTTCTTTCCACAGTTCTGTCACTAAGAGGAAAAGGGAACAATGGTTATTGAACATCCGAAAGCCAAGATCAAGGTGCTGTGGGGTTTTTTCTTTCTTCCCTGAAATCTTTCTTGTTTTCCAGGGCATAACTTTTTTCCCTCCTCTGACAATTCCTGACTACCAAAAGCCCGTTCAAGAGACCTTGTCCTTGGTATTCCCCATTTTGAAACATAGTAGGGGCCTTGGGATTAGACCCAAAGACCCAGTTTCCTGTCTCTCCCTTCCATCTTAGTGTTAATTTGGCAGTTTTTCCAGAGTGCCAAATCTCCCCTGAGATCTCTGCTGGCCTAGTGAGGCAAATACAAGAGCCTATATCCTAACAACCAAATTGTTGAAAATACGATTAGTGCGTATGTAGCATCACACACCACAGTCCTGGTATTGAAAGCCGTGCAACTTATGGGATGGTGTTGGTTAGTCTCAGTCTAAGTAGGTGATGAGATCTTTCACTTTGCCAGTGTTTTTGGAGTAGGAAAGAGTTTTATACCAATAGGCCCAGGGATTTGCCAGGTAGTCTGTGAGTAAACACTTGGACCAGTTTCCGCATCTGTTTTGAATTAAATGCTCAAATGGTCCTCACTGGGATTCTCAACGTGGAATCCATGGACTCCATGGGAAGGAAGACTGTAATGATACTCACTAAGGGTTACAAAAAAGGTAGAACCGTGGATGGATCTACAAGCAGAGACTATAACACCTTGGGACAACTTTTGAGATAATAAATCCAAAATTAGTTTTCATAAAAAGGGAAATTTTAATTAAATCCTACTAAAATGTAGCATTTTATGCAGATACTTAAAACTATGCTTGAGGTAGAGCATATGCGTTTTCATTTTTATGACTAACATTAAGCAACAGTAAAATAAATGGAAATACTTACGAAATTGTTATATTTAAATCTCCCCCGTATTTTTTCGGAAGAGAAGTATTTGTAAAAGGGCCACAGGAATGTGAAGTCCTCAGAATGATGAAGCTTCAGAGCTCTCAATTTGCAGCTCAGTAGATCTCAAACCAATTCTTAGCTAGAGTCACACTCTTCAGAAGTTCCCTGGAGAGTCACGTGAAGGACAAAAGATGTCTTAAAAGGCAGATTGTGAATAATAGGGGAAAGCATTCTCAATCAGCAGAGCGAGGCTCCTTGACTTAGTGTCACGTCCTTGAAGAAATCCCTCTGAATAGGATCTAGCCATTTTGTCCTCCACCTGGCAAGCAGGTGATGCCCACATCCATGAATACTTCCTTCCTCTGAAATGGCCAAGGCTTTCTTCCTCTCCAGAGGCCTGTGCTGCCATATTGCCCTGGTGGGAGTGGTGATGGGGAAGGGGCGAAGAGAGGGGAGTTACAGTGATCAAAACATTGTAGGTGGACAGCGTGTACCCAGAATGGCTTAGGTGCTGGTCGACATGCTAGACTTCATACAGCAATTAATTAGATTATAAAACATCCACAGTTGGGAATTCTAGCTAGACTTAATTTATTATTGGGAGCAAGGGGGCAGTTCCAGATAGTGTAGAGAAAGTGATAAGCCTTTGCCCAGGTGAGGGAGAGGAACTCAGAAGTTGGAAGACGTGCATGTGACAGTTCAGCTGGTCCACATCTAGGCCACAGTCATCTCTCATTTGGTCTGCCGCAGTAGCCTGTAACTGGTCTCTCTCCTTCCTTCATTGCCTGCCTAAAATTCCTTCTTAACGCAGCAGCCAAGGTGATTCTTCCAAAGTGTAAGTTAGATTATGTCATTCTCTGACTTAAAACTTTCTATGGCTTCCCATCTCAAAATAAAAGCCAAAGTTTCTGCAGTGGCTTATATAGCCCTATGTGGTCTAGCTCTCTGTTACCTCTCTGACTTTATCTTCTATAATTTTTTTCGTAACTTAATTCTGCCCCCTCTGAATTTGAGCTTACTGATTCCCTGCCTGCAATTTTCTTACTCCCAGTGTCTGCATCACGTATTCTTTCACTTCTTCAAGACTTTTCTCACATGTCACCAAATTGGAAAAGCTTCCCTTGACTACCCCATATAAAAATAGCATCTCAACCACCATACTCCTATCCCTCTTGTCCTATTTTATTTTTCTCTATAGCTCTTGTTACCATTTTTTTACTGAGATATAATTGATATTTAACATTATATTAGTTTCAGGTGTACAACATAATGATTCAATATATGTATATATTGTGAAATGATCACCTCAAGTCTAGTTAACATCCATTACCACAGATAGTTACAGATTTTTTTTTCTTGTGATGAGAACTTTTAAGATCTACTCTCTTAGCACCTTTCAAATATGCAGTACAGTATTAACTATAGTCACCATGCTGTACATTACATCCCCAGGACTTATTTATTTTAAAAACTGGAATTTTGTGCCTTTTGACCCCCTTCACTCATTTCACCTACCCTCCACCCTGCCCCCCCACCTCTGGCAACCACCATTTTATTCTCTGTATCTATGAGTTTGGTTGTTTTTTTTTTTTAGATTCCATATATAAGTGAAATCATACGGTATTTGTCTTTCTCTGTCTGACTTATTTTCCTTAGCATAATGCCTTCAGGGTCCATCCGTGTTGTTGGAAGTGGCAAGATTTCCTTTTCTATGGCTGTGTAGTAATCCATTGTATATATACACCACATTTTCTTTATCCGTTCGTTCATTGATGGACTCTTAGGTTGTTTCCATGTCTTGGCTATTGTAAATAATGCTGCAGTGAACATGGATGGGGGTGCAGATATTTTTTTGAGTTAGTGTGTTTGTTTTTTTTGGATAAATACCCAGAAGTGGAATTGCTGGATCCTATGGTAGTTGTATTTTTAATTTTTTGAGGAACCTCCTTTCAGTTTTCCAGTGGCTGCACCAATATACATTTCCACCAGCAGTGCACAAGGGTTCTCTTTTCTCCACATCTTTGCTAATGCTTATTATTTGTTGTCTTTTTGTTAATAGCCATTCTAATAAGTGTGAAGTGATATCCCATTGTGGTTTTGATTTGCATACCAATTTTTAAATGTATTTATATCCCATCTACAACAAAATCTAAAGTATATCTCTGTGGTGTCCCAAGGACGGTGAGGGGGTGGACAGGGAATTTAGTATTGTTTATTACTGTAGCACTGGCAGGATAGGCTATGCGGTGCTGCGTTAACAACTCCTAAATATCAGTATCTTAACATGGCACGTTTATTTCCCATTCATGTTACAGAACCATCATGGGCTGTGTCTATACTCTTCCTTTCTGTCTAGTTTGTGTGGCCAGGTACTCAAGGCCTTGCGGTTTCTGGCATGGGTTGGGCAGCCCCTTCTTAGATTTGATAGTTCAAAATATAGCCAGGGAGAAGCCAAGAGATTCTATATCTTGAGCTTGGTGTATATTAGAAGCCTCTGGAAGTCTTTGCTTAGGAGCTGAACATGTGCAAGTATAGTGGGTGTCTAGCTTAAGGACTCCAGCTTTGACTTAGGCTGTAACTTGGGTAACTCTGCCTGGGGAAGCTCGGCTGCACCTGCAAAGGGGGAACTGTATGAGGCCATGTTATTGTTCCCATCTGAGGTCCAGATCAACATCTTAAGATAAGGGTAATGTCTGCCTCAATCCCTCCTGCAGAGGTGCTTGGGCCCCTCTCAGTGCTGGAGCATATCTGCCCTGAATCCCTCCTGCTGTTCTTGGGTTCCACGAGTTTAGGGAAGGGCTGGGATTTGTATACACCCCTTTTAGTTCCCATCAGAGACTGTATGTGTGTGTGTTGGGGTGGGGAAAGTAGGGGTAGGCAGCATAGCAAGGAAATTGGAAGGGGGATGCGGAGTCCTTTTGGGCCTCTCTGGGAGTGATTTTTTCCTTCTCCACAGCTGCTTTCTTGGGATGCTGTACCTTTCCAAGAGAGGAATCCAGAGAAATACAGCTCAGGTTTACAATTTTAAAAGCCATGCTCCAGGTGAGTTATTTCTTCTCCTTTGAAATATAGTCTTTTTTTTTTTTTTTTAACAACACACATTTTTCTTTTTTTAAAATTTTTTTGTTTATTGTGGTAACATTGGTTTATAACATTGTATACATTTCAGGTGTACATCATTATACTTCTATTTCTGCATGGATTACATCATGTTCTCATGTTCATCACCCAAATACTAATTACAATCCATCACCACACACGTGTGCCTAATCATCCCTTTTGCCCTCGTCCCTCCCTCCTTCCCCTCTGGTAACCAC